CGCAATTATTATGAATTAATGCGCAACTTCATTGGTTTTGAATTTAGTTCACATCTCAACTTATTCCTCTCAATCAGGGGATGCCATAAAAAATTCTTTTAAAATTAAAACAGAAATGACGCATGCAGCCAATCATTTGAACATAAAGTAAAAACATTGTCTTAACTGGTTCATTCATTGGAAAATGTTGGGAATAAGTTCGCGTAAGCAGCTTTGCGAGGACCGCAGAACTGTAATTTACGTAATTGTTTTGTACTTGCGCCGAAATATGGAAGTTTCGAACTTGGAAGCAGTGGTTACCTAGAAACTTTAGGAGCAATACCATTATTTCTGCATTTATTAGGCTGTTTGAGGAGATTTGATTTTATGACTGCTAATTAAGGAAGTGGAGACTATTATAAAAATCTTACAATCCTCTCTCAATATATCATGTCAAGCGTAAATTCAAGTCGTTCTCATCTTCCGCGAAGAGTTTGCAGATCTTTCCTCAAACGACTAGGCACTGGCTGACTTTTTTATAAAAGTGGCTAGTAGTAAGTAGTAGTGAGTAGTTGGAATAAACATCCTTAAAAAGAAAACGTCACCTTCACCAACAAATAATTTTAAAAAGTTATTATAATATCAGTTAATTACGTATAGATTTAAAACAAAATATTGTTGAATGATAGATGTAAGATAGGTGAAAGCCCAAGCAATTTTTTTCCCATCGATCAGATCCCACAGATGTAGAAAGAGTATGAATAAAGGCGTATTGACATATATTATCGTCTTCTTTGTCTCGCCATACCGATCATTGCAGCGCGAAAAAAAATTGCCTCACATTGAAAGATGCAGCAGTTATACATGATGATACGAGACAGGTGGTTTTTTGCACAAAAGGCAAAAGATAAATCGGGAAATAGAAGTTTCTTTTTTTGAGCTAACTCCCCTAAAAGTATTTCCCAGCCGTACCTGGATTATCAATGAAAGTGTTTACGTAAAGTATAAGACTACTTTGCAATAAGCAAACATATTGAAATGCGATATATACGGTAATGGAAATTATGGCAAATGTGTTTACACATTTACTGTGACTAATTAAATTGTTCTTTTTGAAATTTTAGGTTGATAAGAGCATACAAAAATAGAATTCTAGATATAAGCGTACATTCCAATGCAATCACCGCATATTGAGTGTGTCGTCATAGATCAGTTAATCAACGGCTAGAAAAGCAGTAAAAGTTCAAATATCCGTTCAATTTGATGACAGATATATGCTAGAGATATTTTCAGGCTTTAAGACCAAAACCCAAAGAAGCTCTAGTTGATTTTGGTCCAGCTAGCAATGAGGCTACGACTTAGTCCGTGAGAGTATCGTAGGCGAATTGGTCGGCGGTCCGCCCCTGAGGCTAGGTGTGGACATGATGCTGCAAGACATATACATTAGCAGTCGACCAGTCACAACACACTTATACTACATATGGCGAGAAGTAAAGTAGGATTCGAGCGCCTACACGAGCTTGACTGCATCTACGCAAGTAGTGTACGGGTATTTTCGGACGTTTTGGAAGTTTCTAGGGGAGCGCGCAAAGATGCGTGAGCTCTCTGAATTACGTTGTGTTGTACATTTCCTGCTGTTGTTGCTCTTCTAGGTTCAAACTTGGGTAGAATAAATATAAGCACATTAAGAAATTTCAAATAACGTTGAAATCTATCTCTTTTACGAAGCAAAAAATTGGTTACGTTTGATTTGAAATTTTTTTCAGCGTCAGAAATAAAAACACTAATTTCTACCCAAAATGCTATTTAAACAACTTAGGAAATACAGAGTTGAAATCATAATTTTCAATGACTATTGACACTAAACATACGCTCAGTTGAATGAATCCTTTTTGTTTACGAAACAGGAAGAGAGAAAAAGGAGAGATAGAAGGGAATTGTTCGATGAAGATGAAGAGTTAAGTAAATAGAGGGAAAAGCTCTTATCCCACATAAGTTCCGTGCTTAATGGAACTGAAGGAGTCAGCCTATAAGGTCATACACTGAGGCATTAATTGACCGGCTCAATTTCAAGCTAGCACAAAATGCGTTGGGACACAGTGGATTTAATAAGACAATGAGGTTGGAACTGATCAATTCTTCTTTTTTAAAAACATATAAAAATTTGTATTTTTTAAAGTTTAGACCCAAAGCGGAGTAGCCCAAATAATATACAGTGAATGTTCTATGTCGAGAGCACTATATTACTGTTGTGCAGTAATGCCTGATGAAAGCTCTCATCTTTCATCAAGCACTTCTGCATGCATGACTGATTACATCTAATTTTTGAAGATTCCTCGGTGAAACAGAAGTTTTTGACAAAAATTGTGAAAATCAAAGGATTTTTTAGATCCCTCTCAAGATATCCATTGCGCAATCCATTTTATAGGATTTCTTCGTT